TATTGTACTTCCGCATCTCCATTTAAGAAGCACATATTTGTGTGATTATAAATATATAAAATCATATTCTTAAATAAATGCCTGAGCACTCTTTTTCAGAAACGTTTGCGACTAACCCTCAATACACGGTCAAGCTCGAAGACCCCGATGAAGACGACGACGACGACCTGTGCACGATGGTCGTCTCTCATGCAGAAGAACGTGAGGCAGCTCAAGAGGTACGGGGCCGACTACCAGCCTATTGGATACACGATTTATAAGGTAAGTTCGAGGTACAACGGCACGTTGTACCTTTTACGTGTGTAAGAACTTACAGTTCTTACACACGGGCACCGAAATGTATGAACTGACAATAACTTTTGGGACAAAACAAAAGTTGAAAGTAGAATGATATGAAAACATTGTAAATAAATGCGTTTCGTTAATTAATTACAATTACAAATGGTTTGCGCAGCTTCCTCCAGAGATGGAACCCGGGGTCAAACTGGACACCGAATTTTTCAAGTACAATGCAAGTTACGCCAAAGTTCCCTTCTTCCTTAACTGCCGCGAAGTAACCACGAGGTTCCGCTTCCCCGCTGGATATTACGTCATCGTTCCGTCCACGTTCGAGCCAGAGATGACCGGCGAATTCCTTTTACGAATCTTCACGGAAGCCAAAAGGTTGAAATCCTCGGCCTCTTAAATCACATAAAAAAAAACATCAAACCGATATCGGGTCACCTGTTTCTTCTGTATCTCGAAATTGATTGTTAATATAAAAAAAGACAAGACAATACCTCCAAAGCTCAACCCGGATATAAACTGTAATGGTCCAGCGCTACCTTCGAGGGGAAGGCTAGATCAGTAGCAACTCGAGGTGTTATGGCGTCTGATTCTATTTTCAGAAAAAAAACACATTTTGATGGTCACAAAAGTTACGGATGCTTTGTGAATATGGTCGATCATTTTGGTCTTTTCAGTTTTCAAAAAGGATGGAAAATAATGGTTTGAATGGTTATATTTGCATTGAACAATCATCAAACCGCCATGACACCTCCTTGAGATGCTATTGATTTAGCCTTCCCCTACCTTCGACGCCGAACGGAAAACATTGTAACGTTCTCCGTTTGGCCATCATAACCTCCAAGACTTGCTTTCAGTGGTCCCTTCACGTGACTCAAAAGCCGTGACCCGTGTGCTTCGACACCTACCTCAAATTCATAATGATTTACACCCTCCAGCGATGAGTAATGTGTTTCGTATTGTGAATGAGCGCTGCAGGGTGTTCGCCATTGTCTTTCATGATTAACCTTAGAACGTTTCTATGTCAAATGGTGCTCTGATATTTGGATATTTCCCTTCTTTTATAAGTAATTTTATCATGTTATCTGTGCCAAATCCAAGTTTGGTTCGCCAGATTGTGTTTTAAAGATTGTGCAATATGATTTTTATGAAAAGTGTTTTCAATAAAATGTTTTTATGAGTTGCATCTTTTATTTTTTTATCAGACATTTTTCCTGAAAATATATCATCATTAAAACAGACACATGAAGCGCATTACTTCTCATACAAACGCGAAACATAAATTTCTCATGTACATGTCTCGATATTATTCTATTAGTGGTCATAACAGAGAGAGAGAGAGAGAGAGAGAGAGAGAGAGAGAGAGAGAGAGAGAGAGAGAGAGAGAGAGAGAGAGACAGACAGACAAACAGAGACAGGCAGACAATATATATAGACCGAAAAAAGTGCAGCAAAGAAAACAACAAATAAGACAAAACACATCCAAAACAAACGAAAAAAAACGCACCCCCGAGAACCTCCCCAATCAAAATACCCGAACGGCGCCAGCAGCGACTCACTCTTCCCTCCCTCCCTGCAGGACATCCCCAGGTGCAGTCGGAGAGCATCCTGCCAAACGGCCTCATCGTGCGCCACGCCTACTCCATCACGCGGGTCACGGAGGTCGACATCGCCTCCGCTGCCCCCAAGTTACAGGTAGGTCGAGGTCGCCCCTGCGATTGCCACCTCCCGTTGTGTTGACAGCGAGGTTACAGTGACATTTCCCGATTGCCTATATGCACACATAAATACAGTATGTGAATGCATACATGCATGGATTGTATGCATACATCCATACATATACGTATTAATTCATACAGACAAGCATAGGTGGATACATGCATGTATACATAATCAATATCATATACAAACATTAACACAGACTTATACCAAGAGACCTAACTTATACATTCACCTTTTGTTCCATGTATACAATTCTAATTTCAACAATACGTTTAATGTCACTGTAATCGTTTGCTAAGGTAACACACGTCCTCCCTTTTCCCTGATAAATGCACTGTACAGTAAAATCCTTCGTCTCACGTTGTGGACCTTATCCTTCCAATAGATTGATTGACAGATAGATAAATAGATCTTCCATACAACATCAAGTATATTTTCAAACAAGAGGCTTTGACTGCAAAGAAAAACATGTTGGGAGACTCTACACGGGGATAATCTTCATAAACCAGCCGTCTTCCCTTTCAGACTATTCAGCCCATCCCTTTAACGATGATCGTAACATTACACGCTACTTACCTTTCCCTCTTTTGTCAGAAAATAATCTTCAGTGTCGAAATCTTCATTTTTTAACCCTAATTCATTCTGCTTCGTACCTTACCCAACCCGCCGTGTTTTTATCCTCTACCTTCTCTTCACAGGCGCGTCTGTACAAGTGTTGGACGTATAGAAACCGCTGTACGCTTTCGTAATCATGTATATAACATTTGCGTCAAAAGTAGTAGCTTTGTAATTAGTGTGAAACAATGTAATGTAGCATTTCCTAGTAAATTATTTTTATACGTGCTTTATATGTAGCTTTTAGATTTCTGTGTATGCTTAAACATTTTTTGTCCCATGATGCAGTTGTGATTTCTAGAGATTATATTTTTTTCTTCTTCTTTTTTCTTTGTTTTGACTGCAACAAAACCAAAGGCTTTTTTTAGACCTTACTGTGATGTGTGTATGATTCAACCGACCGTGTTCGAATCTGTAAACGCCAGTCGATGAGCGGCCGAAGTGTTTAGGCTCCTTCGCACATGACCTACGATCCCTGAGACCGAATTTAACTTCCAGGAGCAGAAACTTACGCCTTCCTTGCCCATGCCTCACCTCCAGGGCGCCATGGCCATGGTGAACAAGTCCTTAATGGGTTTAGCATCCGTGGCCGGCGTCACAGCCACGCAAACGGACCAGTCCGGCCTTAAATCAGCCTTGACTTCCCTTACCAATTGGACCCTGAGTATGGCTTTCCCTGAGGTCAGTATGTGAGTGTGACATCCCTCCGCACGCAGAGGATGGTAATCTTTGCACTAATATTCTTTCATTCTAATCTGTGGTAATAAAACGGAAGCGACGCCATATTTGTTTTGAGTTTCGTGTCCTCTGTTGTTTTTCCAGAGTAGTTTGTGCCGTTGAGATCCTGTCTTGTGTCATCGTATATTTATACTGTATACCATAATGTATAATCCCGGGCATATTGGATTATGTAGCAGTTTTGTATTAACTTCCTACCTTCATATTAATTTTATAATCTTACATACTGCATTGCAATTCTCACATTCGTAACAGTTAGATTAGCGAGCTGACAAAACCACATCCAGCTCTTGAACTACTCGAATTGGAACACTAAATTAATTTAATTTCACCCCTTTTCAAACTAAACAAAGAAGACTACCAAAATTTGTTTTAAAGTCTCGATGACAGATCCTTGTGCAATTGATATTACACAATTCTATAAAACAGCTGTAACAGGTTATGGGTTTTTATTTTTTTATTAGCATTATTGTTGTCATTATCATCGTCATCGTCATCGTCATCGTCATCGTCATCATCATCATCATCATCGTTGTTCTTATCACTAGCAGTTGCAGCCTTTAAAAATACCTTTTTTATTGGTATTGCTGACATTACCATTATCATCATCCTGATTGTCATCACCGTCACCATTATCGTCAACAGATCATCATCGTCAACGTCGTCGTTATCATTGTCGCCATAACTACCATTATCATCAGCCACGTTCATCTTTCTTCACACTGTACCTCTCCACACTTACTTGAAACCATCCAAAACTGAAATGGCATCACATCCATCGCCCTCGCCACCATCTCAATGGCCCCGCCTCCCAAACGAAACTAACCTTCATCTTCTCTCTCCCCTTCCTCCTGCGTTCCCTCCCTGCATCGACAACAACAAAAATGAACAAAGGGCAAAGCGGAACTGGTCCGGCTGCACAACCCCTGGGGGAACGAGACCGAGTGGACGGGGGCGTGGTCTGACAAGTCCCCCGAGTGGGCCACGATCTCTCCCGAAGAGAAGAAGAGGCTGGGACTCACCTTCGACGACGATGGCGAGTTCTGGATGTCGATTCAGGTTGGCAGTGGATGTATATTTGTGAAAAGTATGTAAATTAATATCATGAAAAAACAGCAATGTATAACCGAATAGGATCCACACTTGCAATTCCTTCTGCAGGATTTCGCGTCCAACTTCACCACCCTGGAGATCTGTGACGTCACTCCGGAGGTCTTCGAGTACGACAACGACAGCGACGATGAAAGCAGTAGCGACGAGGACGACGAGGAAGGCCACAGGAAGCAGCAGCAGAATGTGCAGCGGCGGTGGCAGAGGCTCATGTTCGAGGGGGCGTGGGTGTCGCACCACACGGCCGGCGGCTGCAGGAACTTCATTCGTGAGTGATGTGGGGCGACGTTGGCAAAGAGATGAGGGATAAGGTTGAGGCGGAGACGGGTTGCTATTATTTTAGGGATAATGTTCCGAATGAGTTAGGTGAGATGCTGATGAGGGATGCTACGGAATGGTGAAGTTTTGATGAGTCATAAATGTTAGGGTTACGACAATCTCAGAAACATAAGATAAGAACAGAGTAGATAACAATTTTTTTCAAGAGAGCTTTAAAATCCCATTTTAAATGTACGTATTGTACTTCCGCATCTCCATTTAAGAAGCACATATTTGTGTGATTATAAATATATAAAATCATATTCTTAAATAAATGCCTGAGCACTCTTTTTCAGAAACGTTTGCGACTAACCCTCAATACACGGTCAAGCTCGAAGACCCCGATGAAGACGACGACGACGACCTGTGCACGATGGTCGTCTCGCTCATGCAGAAGAACGTGAGGCAGCTCAAGAGGTACGGGGCCGACTACCAGCCTATTGGATACACGATTTATAAGGTAAGTTCGAGGTACAACGGCACGTTGTACCTTTTACGTGTGTAAGAACTTACAGTTCTTACACACGGGCACCGAAATGTATGAACTGACAATAACTTTTGGGACAAAACAAAAGTTGAAAGTAATAGAATGATATGAAAACATTGTAAATAAATGCGTTTCGTTAAATTAATTACAATTACAAATGGTTTGCGCAGCTTCCTCCAGAGATGGAACCCGGGGTCAAACTGGACACCGAATTTTTCAAGTACAATGCAAGTTACGCCAAAGTTCCCTTCTTCCTTAACTGCCGCGAAGTAACCACGAGGTTCCGCTTCCCCGCTGGATATTACGTCATCGTTCCGTCCACGTTCGAGCCAGAGATGACCGGCGAATTCCTTTTACGAATCTTCACGGAAGCCAAAAGGTTGAAATCCTCGGCCTCTTAAATCACATAAAAAACATCAAACCGATATCGGGTCACCTGTTTCTTCTGTATCTCCGAAATTGATTGTTAATATAAAAAAAGACAAGACAATACCTCCAAAGCTCAACCCGGATATAAACTGTAATGGTCCAGCGCTACCTTCGAGGGGAAGGCTAGATCAGTAGCAACTCGAGGTGTTATGGCGTCTGATTCTATTTTCAGAAAAAAACACATTTTGATGGTCACAAAAGTTACGGATGCTTTGTGAATATGGTCGATCATTTTGGTCTTTTCAGTTTTCAAAAAGGATGGAAAATAATGGTTTGAATGGTTATATTTGCATTGAACAATCATCAAACCGCCATGACACCTCCTTGAGATGCTATTGATTTAGCCTTCCCCTACCTTCGACGCCGAACGGAAAACATTGTAACGTTCTCCGTTTGGCCATCATAACCTCCAAGACTTGCTTTCAGTGGTCCCTTCACGTGACTCAAAAGCCGTGACCCATGTGCTTCGACACCTACCTCAAATTCATAATGATTTACACCCTCCAGCGATGAGTAATGTGTTTCGTATTGTGAATGAGCGCTGCAGGGTGTTCGCCATTGTCTTTCATGATTAACCTTAGAACGTTTCTATGTCAAATGGTGCTCTGATATTTGGATATTTCCCTTCTTTTATAAGTCATTTTATCATGTTATCTGTGCCAAATCCAAGTTTGGTTCGCCAGATTGTTTTAAAGATTGTGCAATATGATTTTTATGAAAAGTGTTTTCAATAAAATGTTTTTATGAGTTGCATCTTTTATTTTTTTATCAGACATTTTCCTGAAAATATATCATCATTAAAACAGACACATGAAGCGCATTACTTCTCATACAAACGCGAAACATAAATTTCTCATGTACATGTCTCGATATTATTCTATTAGTGGTCATAAAAGAGAGAGAGAGAGAGAGAGAGGAGAGAGAGAGAGAGAGAGAGAGAGAGAGAGAGAGAGAGAGAGAGAGAGAGAGAGAGAGAGAGAGAGACAGACAGACAAACACAGGCAGACAAATAAACAGAGACATATAGACCGAAAAAAGTGCAGCAAAGAAACAAACAAATAAGACAAAACACATCCAAAACAAACGAAAAAAAACGCACCCCCGAGAACCTCCCCAATCAAAATACCCGAACGGCGCCAGCAGCGACTCACTCTTCCTCCCTCCCTCGCAGCCGGACCATCCCCAGGTGCAGTCGGAGAGCATCCTGCCAAACGGCCTCATCGTGCGCCACGCCTACTCCATCACGCGGGTCACGGAGGTCGACATCGCCTCCGCTGCCCCCAAGTTACAGGTAGGTCGAGGTCGCCCCTGCGATTGCCACCTCCCGTTGTGTTGACAGCGAGGTTACAGTGACATTTCCCGATTGCCTATATACACCTACAAAAATACAGTATGTGAATGCATACAGACATGGATTGTATGCATACATCCATACATATACGTATTAATTCATACAGACATGCATAGGTAGATACATGCACGTATAAATAACGCATATTGTATACAAACACTTACACAGACTTATACCAAGAGACCTAACTTATACATTCACCTGTTGTTCCATGTATACAATTCTAATTTAAACAGTACGTTTAATGTCACTGTAATCGTTTGCTAAGGTAACATACGTCCTCCCTTTTCCCTGATAAATGCTCTGTACAGTAAAATCCTTCGTCTCACGTAGTGGACCTTATCCTTCCAATAGATTGATTGACAGATAGATAAATAGATCTTCCATGCAACATCAAGTATATTTTCAAACAAGAGGCTTTGACTGCAAAGAAAAACATGTTGGGAGACTCTACACGGGGATAATCTTCATAAACCAGCCGTCTTCCCTTTCAGACTATTCAGACATTTTTCCTGAAAATATATCATCATTAAAACATACACATGAAGCGCATTACTTCTCATACAAATGCGAAAAATAAATTTCTCATTTTCGGTAAGAGTATTTACCTAAATATCACATCTAGCTGATACATGTCGCTTTGTTTGTTTGTCAACAGAACAGACTTACCATTATCTCTGCACAAAAGCATGTTTTCATTAACCATATGGACAGAACAAATTAAAACTAAACTTACTTTATCTCATTAATAACGTACAGAACCACAGACAGTTTACTCACTAATTTCGTATATGAATTTGTCCCCAAAATTGCATTTTCATTAAAAATTAAACCTTTCTTTATTTCTTTAATATCACTTCAAAAGTAAATTAAGACAACTACAAAACTTTTTTTTTATTTACAGAGTATCAGTCATTTTCCAACTGCACTGACTTCATTTACTTCAGTGACTGGAAATACCATTGAAACGCACACAAAACACCTGATTTCCTCCTATCTGTTTCCAATCTTTCTTATCCTGTTCTTCTTATCATCGCAATACACCACAGCCCGTGATAAAGTTGACTAGTTTGTTGTTGTATCATCTACGTTGCTTTATTCAGTCGTTAACAGTTAACAACAGCTGTTCTGCGCCTGGGGTAGTGAGGAGTCGTTCAGGGAACTCGCTGAATTGTTCAGCACGATTGTGCTCTTGGTCTGAAAGGGTCATGGTACGGTTATTAGGGTGTTGACTGTGGTGATGAATACTAATACTAATAATATTATGATGATAAAAATGATAACAATAATGATGATAAAAATGATAATAATAATGATGATAATACAAGCAATAATAATAATATTACTTACAATGATAATGATAATAACAATAATAATAATAATAATAAATAATAATAATAATAATAATAATAATAATAATAAATGATAATAATAAATTATAATTATTTTAATAATAACAACAATGATAATAATGATGCTTACAATAACTATAATAACAATAATAATGATAGTGATAATCATAATCACACAAATATTAATAATAATAATAATAATAATAATAATAATGATAACAATAATATTTATAACAACAACAATAACAGTAATAATAGGCATAATGATAACAGCAACAATAATAAAAACAACAATGATAACAATAATAATAATCATCAGCATCATCATAAATATTGATAATAATAACAATGATAATAATAACAACAACACAACACAAGCATAAGCATAATATAATAATAATAATAATAATAATATAATATAATAATAATAATAATAATAATAATGACCGTATAATAATAATAACAATATATAATTCACTATAATAATAATAATCATAATAACCACAGCATACACTTGAAAGAGTGTACCACCATCACCTGCATTCTGAATTTTACACACTCATAAAATCTAAAAGTAACATTTGCGCAATTTAAATACACGAGCCCTTTTAACTCCACTCCCAAGCAAATTTAAAAGGCGTTTCCCTTTGAAACAAAAAACAATATAGAAAACAGATTCATTCTGACTTCACAGCCTGGTAAATTTAAAAGGCGTTTCCCCTTGACAAACAAAACAAAACAGACAGCCCCCACTTACAGCTGGCTCGGGGGAATAGACGTGGACCATAGAGTCGACGTCATCAGATTTCCGAAGCATTTCTGTCGCGATGATTTCGAACATTTCATCGATCCCTGCACGAAGAAAGGCAAAGTAGTTAGTAAGAAAACAATATTTTGATCAACAGATATGTAATTTTGTATTTTTTTCGATCTTTATCTACTTACTTATATCTCTCTAAACAGTTTTGTCTGTTTTCGTATTTGCCTTTTTATTGGAAATCGTTTAATTTTCATAAGGCTAATGCGTTTCTTTATCACCTTATAGTTACAGACATTCAATTATTCCCATTCCATTTCGCCGATACCAACCTTTCCCTCTCGTCCTCCCTTTCTCTCTATCCCATCTACACCCCTATCCTCCCTAACCTCTTTCTCTCATCCCCTTCAACCCTTTCTCTACACCTCTCCTCTTCCCCATCTACCTCCTCACCTGTCTCGTCCATGGCGGAGGTTTCGAGGAAAATGGCGCCTATAGAAGCGGCGTACTGTTGGGCGACGTCTCTGGCCACCTCTCTGCGCTGATCGAGGTCGCACTTGTTGCCAACCAGGACGAGCATGAGGCCCTCCCCGACGCGAGAACTCAGCTCTGGGAGAAAAACAAACAAGCAAAAGTTAGTGTGCGGGTGTCTACGCTTGCATGCACGTAATCGTATACGTAGAGATGCGATATGAAAGTTTATTTCTATATGCGACTGGTGTGGGTAGGTGGGGTGGGGTGGGTGGGGTGTGGGCGGTGGGAGGATGATGGGGGATGGAGGGAGAAGAGAGAGAGAGAGAGAGAGAAAGTGAAAGAAATTTAGAAAAAGAGAAGAGATAGGAAGGAGGAGAATGGGAGAGAGAAAGAGAGTGAAAGAATTTTAGAAAAAGAATGGAGAGGGAGAGATGGAGTGAGAGGGAGAGATGGAGGAGAGAGAGAGAGAGAGTGAGAGGGAGAGATGGAGGAGAGAGAGAGAGAGAGAGAGAGAGAGAGAGAGAGAGAGAGAGAGAGAGAGAGAGAGAGAGAGAGAGAGAGAGAGAGAGAGTGAGAGAGTGAGAGAGAGAGAGAGATGAGAGAGAGAGAGAGAGAGAGAGAGAGAGAGAGAGAGAGAGAGAGAGAGAGAGAGAGAGAGAGAGAGAGAGAGAGAGAGAGAGGAGAGAGAGAGAGAGAGAGAGAGAGAGAGAGAGAGAGAGAGAGAGAGAGAGAGAGAGAGAGAGAGAGAAATAGAGACTGTAAGACAAACAAACATCACATAAAATACACGCACTCATCCAACGGACATTCAACAACAAAAAAACACCAACCAAATAAACAAATAAATACAACTTAGACAGGTGATCAATGACAGCGGGCCCAGGTGTGCACAGGTGTGTTCTCGAGGTCCCGCCACCAGCCCGCAAACCCCGCCACGTGACCGCCTGTGGGGATCCCCTTTCACGGCCATTCGCCATTGCTTTGTCGAGGCAATTTTCCTGTATCTTGGGCTTCGTCTGGTCGTTCTTTTGTTGTGGGTTCATGCTTTTTTTTTTTTTTTGCTCTGTGTATTTTTTTTTTTTTTTTGATTGCTTGTTTTCTATCTTTCTTTCTTTCTTTTCCTTTCGTTCTTTTTCTTAATTCTCAATCTCTCTAACTCACTCACACACTTCATTACTCTGTTTTTTTTTCGCTTTATTGGTCTCTGGGTATTTTTGCATGATTTTTTTTTTTTTTTTTTTTTTGGCTTGCGTGATTTTTTTTTTTTTTTTTTTTTTTATCTTTCTTTCTATTCCTTTCGTTTTTTTTTTTCCTTATTAATTCTCATTCTCTTTAACTCTCTCTCTCTCCTCCCTTCACGCTTTCACATATACATATAGGGTAAAAGCAAGAGCAAAAACACAGAGCATAATATAAGAGAGAAAAAAAGAAAAACAGACGAAGCGTAACACAAACAAAGAATCTATTACAACAACAGAAGGAACAACCAAACTAGCAATAACAGAATTTAAAGAAAATATATACATAATGAAAACAAAAAACTTACCATGTACCCAAGTCTGGATGTCATTAAAGGTCTGCAGTTTTGTAATGTCGAAGACGAGAAGGGCGGCGTGTGCACCGCGATAATACATAGGCGCCATCGACCGAAATCTTTCCTGACCTGCTGTGTCCCAGACCTGTAAATATTTGCGATTACTCTTTCTTGTATATAACTGTCTAAGCCTGCAAATATTCGTGTGATTACTGTTCCTTGTAAATAATTGTCAAAACCTGTAAACATTTGCGATTACTCTTCCTTGTATATAACTGTCTAAACCTGCAAATATTCGTGTGGTTACTGTTCCTTGTAAATAACTGTCTAATTCTTCCCTTTATCTAACAGTCTTCTGGGGATATGCGTTCCCAAAGGGGCTCTCAGGCTAATTGCGTTTATCAGATATTTTGTTGATTTAAACTTTCCTCTATAACGTAAACATCGATAGCTTCACCTAAATGCACTACAATCATGAGGTAGAGTGCACTGACGTGAATATATTGATGCTAAGTTATAGATGAATGTTTAAATTGGCAAAATATTTAATAAACGTCTTGTCGGACAATTGGACTTAAAACTCCCCTTGGATCCACATAGCTGTGTGTTATTATGTGTGTTTATGGAACTGGTTTTGGTGATGATGAATAAATTTTATAATATGACACCAGTAATAACAGGAACAGAGACAGACGGCCAAGAGTAATAATAATAGTACTGAAACATTCAATACTTTATCCCTTTTATGCTGAGCGTAAACTAATACAGATTTTCATTCTTCAACAAATTATCTTTTTATTTACTATATTTCTATTAACAAAGGAAAAAGAGAAACATTAAATTTGCAAATGCATGTAACGGGATACGTGCACAGTTCATTTTTCTAATGAACTTAACTCTGTGCTTATTAATGCTTAATTATGGGTTAATAGCAGTCGTCAGGTTTTATTGCATATCGTGCTATCATATTTCCGCTTATTCTAAAAAGTTCAGCATTTTTTTTTTATTGAACTATTAAATTTTTTACTTCATTCACTTTGATTTTAATCTTCACTCTCTTCCTTTACGATTGAGAATATGATACTCCCTCATCATCATATCAATCTGTATAAACATTTAATTATCCCATTATCTTATCTTGCCCTCTAATCATTCTATTAACCTATCTGCTCCATTCCCCTTTCGCAAACTTTCACTTTCATTTATTTGACCTCACTCTCGCTCGTATTTGCTCCTCTCTCTCTCTCTCTCTCTCTCTCTCTCTCTCTCTCTCTCTCTCTCTCTCTCTCTCTCTCTCTCTCTCTCTCTCTCCTCCCGCTACATCTCCC